CCACGGGTGCGGCTGAGCGCCGGGAGGCTCGCGGCAGCGGGTGGTGCAGACGGCTGGCCCCTCAGCTTGGAGGGCAGGGGAAGGCAGGGTCGGTTTTGGGCCTCTGACCGCCATCAGTTCTGGCCCCTGTCCCCTGGGGATACCAAACCTCAGCCGGCAGCACCCGGCTAGGCAAAGGGCTCTGCTTCTTCTGTCTCTCTTCTGGACAGCTTCAGCCCCTCAGGAATGGCCCTCGTTTCTCGTTATTCTTCTCAGAGGAAAGAAAAACGGTGTTAAGCCATGGCATCTCCCCCAGGCTCCAGCTGCCTCCCCCAGCTATGCCAGATGGGCACAGGGCAGAAACCCACTCCTGGGTCAGGGCAGGAACAACTGTCTCCAAGTCCCTGAGTTCAGGGAATAGGAAAGGAGGGATTGGAAGGGATGGGATGGCAGCAGTATGAGCAGGGAGCAGAGCTGGAGGGGAAGAAATGACAGATTGGGATGGTCTCTGGGGTGGCTGGGGCAGGCAGGGCTCCTGTAGGACCTGGGCCCCCCTCCTCCTCTCCAGCCAGCGTGGCCCTTGCGCACATCTGCTCATTGGGACTTACAGGCGGCACTGAGCAAGGCGACCAGCCATGAGGTTAGCCTGGCTGCACAAAGCATCTTCTCTGAGCCCCACAGGCCACAAGTGAGGGCCATCACTTCTGGCAGAGCGGGCAGACTCAGATACAGTGATGTTTCTGCTTGTGCTGCACTACAAGTGCCCAGAGCTGTCGCACCTGAGGGTTCTCCCTGCCTGGTCACTATTCAGGACCAGAAGACAAGACACCTGCCACCCACCCTTGGGGCTCACCCTTACACAGCCCTCTCCCCCCAAACCGAGCCCCCTTTGGGAAGAAGCCAGGCAGGCGGATGATGCACAAGACCAGCTGAACAAGGCCTGACTGAGGAAGGGACACACTTACTCTGAGTCTGGTGACAGCTCCGAAATGCTGTGGGAGGTGGCAGAGCGAGGTGTTGAGGGGCACATTGCAGAGGGCGTCGAGGAGGTCTGCACGGCAGAGGGAGTGGCAGTGGTCTGCGGGCCTGAAGGCGTGCTGGAAGATTGCACCGAGGACAGGACGGAGGAGTTAAAAGAAGCAAGGATGGAAGAAAGGATATCTAATTGTTCAGTGGAAGGATGTCGGCTGGGAACAGCCTCCAGGTTCTCTCTAGAAGGCTGTCTCCTCGACAGCGGCTCTAGGCCTTCCCTAGACAGCTGCCTCCTAGAGAGGCTCCCCAGGTTGTCCTGCGAGGGATGCCTGCTAGGCACTGTGTCCAGAGGCTCTCTGGAATTAGATCTTCTGGACAGAAAGTCCAGCTGCTCCCTTGAAGTTTGTCTAGCTGATGCTAGCTGGTCCCTTGAAGGCTGTCTTCTAGAAAGCAAATCCAATTGTTCTCGAGAAGTATCTCGACTTGGCAATGTGTCTATTCGGTCTCTGGACACTTGCCTACTTGGCAATGTGTTTAGCCACTCTCTAGAGACCTCTCTTACTGGCCCGCAGTCTAGCTGCTCTCTTGACCCAAATCTGCAGGGTAAAGTGTCAAGGTGGTCTCTGGAGCCCTGCCTCCGGGGCAGCGTGTTCCCATGATCTCTCTGACTGGACCTAGCAGCGAGTAGATCCAAGTTTTCCCTAGACCCGTGTCTGCTCGGGATACTTTCCAGGTGTTCAGTAGACCCATGCCTGCTGGGGATAGTGTCCAGCTCCTCCCTGGACCCATGCCGGCTGGGCACCGCTTCCAAGCACTCTCCTGAGTTGTGTCTGCTCAGCTGCTCCCGGGACATCTGTCTCCTCATCAGTATGTCAAGCTGCTCCCGTGATGAGTACCGGCTGGCTGGCTGTGACAGACTCCCTGCCCCAGGGTAGATCCTGCCATAGGAGGCGGCGGGGACAGCCCTGTGACCCAGCGTGGAGGTCTTGTACCACGTCAGCTCGTTGGTCATCCTGCCGACGGACGGCAGGCCTTGGAGAGTCGGAGGGTACTGGAGGCGGTTCTTCAAAATCCCTGCACCGGACAGAAAGAGAAGTAAAATCTTTACCTAACAGTGAAAAGAGCATGAAAGCTGGGGGAGATAAGCCATACATCCCCAGGGACACGACAAGATGGATCTGATGCTGAGCCTTCAGGGCCATGTCAACCTGAGACAGGGAAAGCCACCCTTGCCTGCTTGCTACAGGCCGTTACCTTTTCTTTGCCGTTGGGTCTGGGTGAGGGAGTTCTCATCCCCGCTGGTCAAGGCCAGGTCTGGCTGATTATTGTTGGCTGCATCCTTGTTGATGTCGAATCCCAGCTTCCGCTCAGAGCCCCACTTCTGCAGGGAGCAGGGGTGAACCTCACACTCGCCCAGAGCCGGCCAGTATGACATGAGGTCGTTGCCATCCACGTCTGGTGAAGGACACAGCAAAACAGGCCCCAGGGAAGAGGGAGAGAGTATTTCTGTGAGCAGCAATCAAAGCCATCACAAGACACAGCCTGGCCCCCAGGGACCTGAGCTCCCCCTTTCCCCTGCCAGAGCCCCCGAGACTTGCCTTTGGGAGTGGTGTTGGCAGGGTTAGTGAGGAGACGTTCGCTGTGTGCCGCCCGCTTGAACTGGCGCTGGAAGCGGCCCCGCAGGCGTACATTCTCCTCACTCTCCGAGGATGGGATGGAGAGGCTGCGCTCTTCATCCAGAGACAGGTCACTGTCTGAGTCTGAGTCCTGGTCTGTAGGGACATGGTACGTGTTGGGGGGGGCATTTGGAATGAAGGTGGGAGAGCCTCCCGGTGGCAGGGCCAGGAAGGGAGAAGCACCTCCGGGCTGACCGCCTGTGTGAGGACAACAGCCTGCCTTACCCCTCACTGCCCTTCCCTCGGCAGCAGCCTGCGCCTGCTCCCTTGGCCCTATCACCAGTGCCTGTGAGAGAAGCCTGGCTCCATCTCGCTGCACCTCCCCATCAGGCAGCTGCGAACAGCCATAAGATCTCCTTTGCCTCCTCTTCCTCCAGGCTGAGCAAAGCCACCTCCCTCAGCCTCTGCTCACCTGTCCCATGGCCCAGCTCCAGCCACGAGGGTGGCCCCCGTCAGTCTCACTCCAGTGAGCCAAATGTCTGTGCTGTACTGGGGAGCCCAGTGTCTCCATGGACCCTGTGACAGCCTATGCCCGCTCTCTTGCCTCCTCAATCTCTAGCCCCTTGGAGACTGGCTATGCCCTTTGACATCTGTTCGGGAGGAGGCTGTACTAGGTAACAGTTGCTGCCTCTCCCTCCTACCCGCAGCATGTTTGGAAGTCACAGCTGAACATAGGGTGGACAATGTAACTGTACAGCTAGAGCCTGCACAAGGAAGAATTTCCTTAAGCCAGGAGCTAATTCAGGATGCATGGGGTCAGCCCCAGACGCAGGCACAGGGCTGAGCCTTACCTCCCCCAGCATCGCGGTGGAACATGGCCACATCGATGTCCGTGGGGCCAGCATGAGCTAGCAGGCTGTGATCTAGGGCTGAGCCCTGTCGTGCCGTCACGTTGTCTCTGAAAGACAGGAGGCCCGAACAGTCACAGCAGCAGAAGCCCCTGGCTCTGCCGATGCACTCCCAGGACCCCGGAGTCCTGCACCACTCCCTACCTGAGGTAAGCCCGCTGGCTGGAGTGGGTGCGGGCAGAGCGCACGCTGCTCACCGACGAGATGGTGGAGGCCCCCAGGGTGATGCGGATGAGCCCGCTCTCTTCAAACAGTGCTGTGTTGTTGTAGGCATTGGGGCCCTGGCGAGGTGGGAAGAGAGGGCATGTGCCCTGTTAAGGAGGTGCCACTGCAGCCCATGGAATGGCCTTCCCACCCACACCTGCCACCCTCCTAGGGAAGCGGGGACATCCCCATCAGCTCCTGTCCCACGCAGGCAGCCTGTCCCCAGACCCCTGGGCTGCTCCAGCTCTCGCCCACCTGCGTGCTCCTCGTGGCCTCCTCACTCTGGCCCTTCTTGCCGAGGCAGGCCAGCTTCCAGGCCTCCCGCACCTCCTCGTTCAGCACACAGAACAGGATTAGCACAGCCAGGCCCTGCAGGAAGAGATGCCATGAGAGACAGCCCCTTGTTGCCAGCCGATCTGCTCGCCCGCAGCACCAGCACTGCAACAGTCCCTGGCTCCTTCAGAGCCCAGCATGTTGGCCATGGTGGCCACCAGGACTGGAATGCACCAAAGAGCCCCCCAACACCGATCGGTGCTAACCTCCATGGTTGCCAGGGGTGAGGGAGGAAAGGGTAGGTGTCCTCCTGGCTGGCAGAGGCCAAGGAGCAGCTCACAGGGTCCCCTGCAGCAACACCAGCCATGGTGGTGGCAGGAGGTCTGCAGGGTGCTGCCGTGGGTCATATTTGGGGTGTCTGACATCTCTGTTGCAGGCCACTCTCTTGCTTTGCCCTCTGAGAGCATGGAGGCCCCTTCCCTCCAAAGATGGTCCTTGCTGCCCCTTGGATGTCACCTCTGAACCAGGCGCCTTGCAGCCACCTCCTGCTCCATGCCACCGCTCACCGCAGGAGCACCAGCAAGGACTGGCAAGAGTCACTCACTGCCGCAGTGGTGACAGCAGAAGGGACAAGGAGCCCAGCAGGACGCTGGGGACTCATCGCAGGGCACCCAATCTCCACAGATGGCTGTGGGGACCACAGGGATGCTCTCCTGGGCTGACCTGTGCCCTCCCCTGGCAGAGGCTGGGCAGTTACCTGGAGGCTGCAGAGGACAGTGTAGAGGTAGTGGAAAGCCAGGACACTGTTGTTGACAGCCAAGAGGCCAAAGAGCCAGGTAGTGCTAATAACTAGAAGCAGAACAAAGGAGCTCCGTAACGTCATGCTGGAGAGAGAGAGAGACAGACAGACAGACAGGCACACAGACACACACCGAGAGGTTAGTGCGTACTGTTAACCTATGGTTGAGTGCTCACAGACAGATCCAGAGGGGAAAGCGTGTTCCTGCCCAGCCCTCCCTGCTGCACCCTGCACTGCGGGCACATCCCCGCACAGCTGTTCAGCTCCCTCCGACTCCCCCGCCTTCCCTTCTGGATCACACATGGCAAACACAGGGGCCCAAACAACACAGGTCATTTGGAGCCACAGAGAGCTGAGCCAAGCACCAGGGCTGGCCCAGGAGGGAGCGGGGAAAAGGTCTCAAAAAGACCATGTAGGAGAGGAAGAAGCAGGTGCTGAGAGTCAACAAGGGCAGAGTGTTGAATTCAAGTAGGCACAAGGGGTGGCTGTGAGGGCAGGTAGTGAAGGGGGACAGGCTGACGGGACAGTGTGGAGATGGGGACATAGGAACAAGAGGAAAGGACAAAGTTTAGGAAGGGTTAATGTGGCTGGCAGGTGTGGGAGAGGAGAGCGGCTGCAAGGCTGACACTGATGCATGGAGAGGCACTCTGCGATGGTGGAAGAGGGAGGATGGTCACTGAAAATGCTAAAAACCATGAGCCACAGGAGCTCTGCTGGGAGTTTGGCCACTAATACTCACAGAACCGATTTCTTCTTGGTCTCCTTTTGGCCTGGGGAACAGGACATCTTGGCCACAAGCAGGAACATGACCCCATTCATCTGAAAGCGTTGGCACTGATTAGAAGCTGTGCCAAGGGCCGGCTCTGACCTGACATCCCCAGTGCAGAGCGTGGGCAGACTCCAGGTCTGCCAGGCCCATGCGAACGTCCCCTCCTTTCCCCTTCACACCCAAGCCATGGCCTCCCCCAGGTTTGGCTGGAGCAAGGAGGGACAGAGAGAGGGCCTCTAACTGAGGAAGGAGAGTACAGAGAATGGGGCAGGCAGTGGGCAGCCGAGGAAGGGGCGAGTGCCCATGGTGTGGAGAAGGGAGGCAGGAGAGGGCTGTGGGTGAAACAGGACAGGGTTTTACCACAATGACGACAGTAATGGGGCCTGCAAAGCTCCAGACCAGCTTATCATGAATGGAAATCCAGCAGAAGTCAGGGTTCCCGTAGCCCTCAGGATCCAGGCCAACGGCCAGCCCTGCGGGAGGAAGGGAGAGGTCAGGTCCAGGCCCTGGCCTTGTCCAAGCCATGTTGATCCCATCCCAGCACTGAAGGCCATGAAGGGGCTCTCTCCCTGCTCCTTGCCCTGTGCACAAGCTTCCTCGCCACAGGAGAAAGAGCCAGGACTGCGAGCCCCAGCATCAGGGCCTTTATTTCCTTTTCTCCAGGCGTTCCTGACACAGCCCACCCCAGCAGGCATTCACTGCCAGCAACAGGTCACTCAAGCATGCAGGCTTGGGAAACCAGGAGAACTTAACCACAAGACCTGGGACAGCAGGAGCCCCACACGCATCGAACAAGCCCTGGGAGGCTGCGCTGAGCAATTACTTCTCCCCAGGAGGCAAGACGACAGCCCTCGATACGTGGTCCCCAGCTGACCACCACAGCACTGCTTGCTGCCAGCACTGCTGGCTGTGGCAAGCCCACCCTCAGCTCTCCCCACTGGGTAAGTGGGCTGGGCAACACCAAGGGTCCAGGAGGCTGCTGGGAACTAGTGCTTTTGGCATGGCTGTAGGACAAGCAGCTCTCACCGGTGATGATGGCAGGCACTCCCCAGCCGATGGCATAGTAGAAACGCATGGCCCCGAAGTTGACATTGCGGGCTTCAGTCTGCATGCGGTAGATATGGAGGCCCTGGACGAATAGCCAAGCGAAGGTGGAGAGGAAGAAGCAGTGGAGGAGGATGGCAATCACAGTGCAAAGAAACTGGGGAGACAAAAGCCACTCAGAGATGGTCCCACTGTGCCAACCCCTATGGGTGTGTTTGTTGAAGCCCACAGACCTGGTTCTCAGTGCGGTTGATGCCCAGGAGAAAGAGCAGCTCAGAGAAGAAGAGGGTGACTGATATGTTGGAGTGGATGCCACGTGTGTTGGACTTGAGGCCTTTGAGGCAGGTCAGGAAGGAGAAGGTCAGCAGCAGAGCCACCAAGGAGAGAGACACCAAGGAATAGCTGACAACTGCCAATGTCTCCAGGTCACCTTCCAGTTGCTGCAGCAGCAGAGAACCAAAGGCAAATGGCGGTATTAGGGGGCGACATGGGGAGCCTGCTAAGCTCTCAAACTCTGCTTGTGCCCCACAAAGATTTTTCTGCCTGTGCCTGCTTATTCTGGCTAACAGCCCCCGCCATCGCCCACAGCCCCGCAGGCCGAGGTTACCTCTCGGTGCGAGCTGTCCATCAGAACCCCAAAGGTGCCAAACTGGGAGCACTGGCAGTGGACGTGTGTGGTGTTTCGGTATATGAGCTCGCAGTCCCTGGCTGTCCAGAAGCCGGAGGGGTTGGTCCTGCAGCCACCAAAAAGCAGAGCGCACTTAGGAGAGAAGACAGATGAGTGTGGTGTGTGGGGAAGGAACTGCAGAGAAGAGGGGTGATTGGCAAGGCTTTTCTACCAGCAGATACAACTGCACTCCTACAGCTGAAGTACTGGAGCCAGAGCCCTGCAGGGACCCTGCTGTGCCCTCCCAGCCGGAATGAACCCCCTGCAAGAAGGCAGAAAGCCCCACATCCCAGTGCTGCCCAGGCACACAGCCTGTCACGGCCAAGGAAACTCGGGGAATGAGGAGGTGCCTGGGGAAAGCAGCTCAAAGGGAGTGGCCCAGCCATGCTCAACTCACGGGTTGGAGTGGTTCCACTGGACGCAGAGAGGTTTGCTCCTGTTGGCAGTCTCCAGCAGGTGAAATTCCAGCACCAAAGGGGTGTCCAGGGGCCCCCGCAGGAAGGTGTGATTGCTGAACACAGAGACACTCACGATGGGTGAGTTCATCACAGGATTCTTGGGAAGCCTGCAAGGAGCAGCAGAGCTCTACCACCACCGTGCCTGTCAGCTGCAGCCCTCCAGGGACATCCCGGACACCCTACGCTGACGTCTCAGAAGGAACAGCTCTGCCCAGCCCACACCAAGGGGTTAGGAAACATGGGGCAGCACAACGCCAAGGTGGGGAACAGGCAGAGCACCGCAGGACTGTCTGGCTGGGGACCAAACCCAAACCATTGCAGACAGACTCAGCAACTGCTGGAGGGAGCAGAGCAGAATCCAGCCAGCCTCTCTCCACTGGTGCTTGTGGAGGGCAAAGCGGAGGAGGACGTACCTGACGCTGCGGCGATCCACTTGGTAGCGTGCAGGCAGCAGCCCCCCCAGGGTGCGGTACATGATGAGGATGATCACAGTGAGGGCAGGCTCAGGGTCCGACAGTGCCTGCCTCGGTGAGGAGTTGTCCACAGTGTAGTTCCCTTCGCCCCCAGCCAGCGTGGGCACTGCCGTGGGGGCAGCTGAGGCACACAAGGGGATGGTGAGTACACACACACACATGCTGCTCTGAAGGCAACTTGTGAGGCTATCACGGATAGCTGTCAGGGGCTATCAGGGCCTTTGGGATGTGGTGAAGTCAGAAGCTCTGAGCCCTCAGGCGTGTCTTGTGGACCTCTGACAGAGCTAGGTCTCAGCAGGGGTACATACAGACTAGATGACCTTTAAAGGTCCCTTCCAACCCAAACCATTTGATGATTCTACATCTTCCCTGCCACCCACACTGTCCCTTGAGTGATGCCCATGTACTCACCTTCGGCTTTCAGAGGGCTGAGCACTGACAGTGGCAGCACAACATGGGTGTGGGGGTCCCAAGCTGGCTGGCCTCGGAAGAGGCTGCTGTGGTAGCGAGGGTAGCGCCGGCGGATATGGGAGTGGTTCTCCATGCGATCGATGCTCAGCACTGTGGAGGAACAAGGCAGTGAAAGTCAGCTCTAGGATGGCCACCTGGAGAGCAACCATGCTCCAGGGCACCCCATGTTTGAAGTCACTGGCAAAGGGACTGTATGAGCCACAGGCCGGGTTGTGGATATGTCCTGTGTTTGGGCATGACATGAAATTCCAGCACACACAGTGCTCCTTCCCAGCCCAGTTCCTTGCTCTGCTGTAGGGCACACTACTTCTGCCACCGAGGCCAGCAGCTTTTTCACTAGAGACTGGGAAGTAACTGGGAGTGGGCAGCACACTCCTGGCTCTGCTGGCTCTCAGTGGTATGTCAGCTACTCCAGGCAGGAATGGGACCAGGACATCTCTCACAAACACCTCCCCACAGTTGAGAGAACCACCAAGGACGTTATCAGCACCCACGCTGAGATGAAGTGGGATGAGAAGAAGGGGACAGGATGTGATGAGGAGTGGCTCTGCACCACCCCAGCCAGGTCCCCCCCCACCAGCCAGCTCCTACTCACTGATGTTGGGGGTGACGACGCCAACGGGGTTGAGGTAGGTGAGTTTCATGTTGCTGGCCAGAGTGCCCGAGTAGTCCCGCAGCTGCTCCATGAGGCTGGCACTGCCATGCTCACTGTGTGGCAGCATGGCCCAGTGCTCCCGGTTCTCGGGCGCCAGCACGGAGCTGCCTGCACGCAGCAGGTTCTGCACAGGAGACATGAGGGCAGGGGGTGAGGGAAGCACTGCCTTTGGACCCTGTCCTGAGCACCCCCAGGCTGCAGCACTGTGCTCTCTGCCCAGCTTGCTGCACAAAGGCTCGGGGAAAACGGGTACTCTCTGCTACGATGGGTCCCCACCCTCAACATTCATTAACCGGTGTCCTACAGAGACATCTTCCCTGCAGCCCTGCCATGAGGGATTTGCAGGCAGCAAGACCTCCCTTTGCCTTCCCAGGCCGAGCAAACCCAGCGCTCTGCCTCTTCTCATCCACCCTGTGCTCCAGCCCTGACCATGCAGGTGATCTCCATGGGTCTCGCTCCTGTGGGCCAGTGTCTGTGTGGCACTGAGGAGCCCAGTGCTCCTGACATGGTCTCACAACATCCTCGATTCCCTCAGAGACCCAGGCTCAGGGTGGCTGATAAAGGGACACAGCATCAGAAGCCGTTCTGATCTGGGGGAAGGACTCACCTCATTGAAATGGGCGTCCTGCGTGGCTGTCAGGCCAAAGCCACGCTGCCGGCTCTCAAAGGCCATGAGGCGGGACAGCAGGCGGAAAGTGATGTGCACATCATTGCCAAAGTAGTGGTCCATGTGGTCTGTCACAGCCCGGAGCCGGTGGGCCAGCTTCTTGGCTTCAATTGTGTTGAGCTCAGTCTCGTTCCTCTCCAAGCCCTCCAGCTGCCAGCGGGGAGAAAGGAGGGGATTAAACAGTTAACCAGGTTCCTTACTGGGAAACTGGGATGCTGCACGCCCCGCTAGACCCAGAGATTATTTCTGAAACCATGGCACAAGCCACAGACACTCACAGTGGTGGTCACTAGAACAGGGAGCATCTCTGGCAGACAACCAGCCTCCAGCAACACACCATGGGTTGCACTGGCCCAGTTAACCCAGCGCTGTACACGACAGAGGCCAAGGAGATGAAAGGACAGGGCATGCATCTCGCAATACTTCCCTGGAAACTCTCCTGGCTTCAGTTACAATTCAGCCTAGGTGAGATGCAAGTGTTTAATAAACTTGCCCAGATATTTCAAAGGGATTTGTCACTGACAGAATCTGGGGGCTACAGATGTCCCATGGAGCAGACATCCCACTAGCTTCAAAAAATTCAGCTCTGCTCGGGGTTATTTGTTTTCCTCTCCGATAGTGGGGCAGGACACAGGTCATTTCTGATGGGGACACTCAGATTAGATGAAGCCAAGTGAACTTCAGCTCAGATCAGTGCTCTGACAGGATGGGTTTGGGGGCAGGAGATGAGAAGAGAAAGGTGCTGAGCACTGTGGCAAGGCCCTCTCCTACTGTAGGTGCCCACAGAGAGCTGAGCTCTTTGAAACTTGGCTGTGAGCTCTTGTTCACATGGCTCCTACTCTGTCAGGGCTGCAGAGCTGAGAGGATTACCAGCATGGATAGCTCCTTGAAGGCAGGTGAAGTGCAGTTGAAGAGATCTGGCTCCAGCCAGCCCTTCTCCTCATCACAGTGTCTGACGGCTGCACCTAAAACCAGGAGGAAGGGCATGTCTGAAATTCAGCACAGGATACATGGCTCCCCTGCGGCATCCCCAAAGCAGGGACCCTCTGTACCAGCTAATCCCAAAGAGCAGCACCAGCAAGTGATGGCGAGGTCCTGTAACACCCCAGGGCTGTCCTCCTGCTCTGCACCAGTGTAATCCATTCCACCCTTGGTCTGCATCACCTCGGCAAGCTGCTGCCATCCCCTCCCTTCAGGAGCTGGGTTCCTATGTGTGCTTCTGGGCTGCATCACATCAGGTGCCATCACACAGGATTGCAAAGAGGAATAAGTGACTTGGCAGGGCTCAGGCTGGAGAAGCCCCTGGTTCCTAGTGGGGACATGTCTGTGACCTCAAGGCTCATCTGACCCTGAACCACTGAAGCCCGTGCAGCTCTAGGCATCCCCTGCTGACAGTCTGCAATGCCTGCTGAGGTCCTGTCTCTCTCTACAGGGCAAAGTCACCCCAGGAGGACAACACCCCTGCTGTGGGTCTGGCAAACCCACCCCAGAGACAAGCCCTTGCAGTCAAGTGGGACGGAGGACCCCTCATCCAGCAGTGTGGGTTCAGTACCCAGCGCAAGACCCCAAGCCCTGGCTGGGGCCCAAGTACTACTGCACAGCAATGGAGATACCAGCAATGAATGGGATCCGCTGTTAATCACCACCAAAAGCGCTGCTAAAGCCGACGTGGAGAGCAGTGTCCTGGGCTGGAAGTGTCACCACACACACTTTGAGCAAGAGGAACCTGGGCGATCCCAGTGTACCTGGCAGGACTGTGGACCAGGACCCCCTGGGGATGGCACCATGGCACAGGAGGCCACCCAGGTGCCCATGGCTGGGAGAGGGCAGCAGCATGGCCAGGGCAGGGAGAGGAAGCCTGGAGCAGACTCCAGTTGCTGCTCAGAAAAGCTCCAGTGACTAGCGTGCTCCCTCCCACCATCTCCAGCTGTCCTCCCCAACAACCTCTCCTCCAACTGCAGAAGCACAGGGACCAGTGCCATTGCAGCTCAGAGCAGGGAGAACAAAGAAACCTCCACACTGTTGGCCTTCCCCTGGCAGAGAACAGAGATCGGCTCAGCTGGAGCTCTGGGCAGGATCCAGCCCTGGGGTCCCTCTCCCTCACCCTGCCAGCTGGGCAGAGGGAACAGGACCTTGTGCTGTGCATGCCCATTAGTTTCTGCCCCCATCCTACTGCCCTCCACTCTTACAGCTCCCCCCCTCCTCCACCCCATGGCCGTTCCTCCATGGCGTTCCTGGTCTCACTACCCACTGCTCATCACCAGCTCCATCCCCTCCCAGCCTAAGCAAGCAGGTACCAGCCCAGGAGAGCCAGCATCCATCCCAGCTGGGGAGCAGAGCACAGACCCGCTCAGAGCCAACACTGCAGGCTGAGGACAGTGGGTGGCAGGGGCTGCATGCGGCTGCAGCCAGGTTTGTGCTGGTTAGTGTGCTGGGAGCAGGGAAGAGTGTGTAGGAGCGGTGCGGCCAGGCAAAGCATTGGGAAGACACTTGGCAGCTCCAGAAGCAGTGGGGAAAGCGCAGGGGTGTGCAGGGTGCCAGGCAGGGAGCAGGGAGGGAAAGCCGCATGGCACAGCCCTTACAGCACAGGGGGAAGGAGATGGGAACAACCTTACCTGCACCCCTCAAGCCTGAGCACGGAGGGCGAGAGAACCGGGGAGAGAAGCAACAACAGTTAGGAGCCGAACCTGCCTCCTCCTGGGGCGAATGGCTGGAGAAGGACAGGGTTTGTATTGTCCCCTGGGGCTTGTGCTGCTTGTCCCAGACACCCTGCTCACATCTTTGCCATCACCAAGGACAGCCTCCTCCAGCTCAGGACGTTGACTCCGACCCAAGACGCTCACCTAACGGCACGCTGTGCCCTGCTCCCCTCACAGCGCACATCGAGGATGGGGCCAGCAGAGCCGCAGCAGTGTACTGCAGGCGCCGAGCTGCCATGCCAGGCCTGACCCCAGCCTCAAGCCCGCTGAAACCAAAAGGCAGCAAGGAGAAGGTGGGGACAGAGGCCGAGGGAACAGCACAGCCCCAGGGCTGGGTGATGGGCTTAGACCCTGCAGCCTGTTCCCAGGCCCAGCCCCATGGCCAGCCCCCTCTGCTCTCCCTGAGTCTGTGGCATTTTCTCCTCCAACTTCCTTCTCCCAGCCCTCAAGCCCAGCTAAACAAGACTGGGACAGCACAAGAACAGAGTGATATTGCTGGGACTGCTACAGCCCCCAGCAGGACAGCCAGGCTGCGCCCTCCCCATCGCATCCCCCACTCACCCAAGGAGCCTTTGGGACACAGCACCGCAGCCGAGAAGCCAAACTTGGTCTGGGGCCACCAAACCCCCGCCTTCAGGCTTTTGGGACAGCCGTCATAGAGCACTGTGAAGACACGCACCCCGAGGGGCCGGTCACAGGGGGAGTACGCTGATGCCAAGCCCCACGGCACCGGCTCCCCACTGTGCCCACACTCACCCTCGCAGCCGCTGGGCGTCACTTCGGCAAAAGGGCTGTCGCAGTTATTGCACTGGCGCCCGATGACCCCAGGACGGCAGTGGCACCGGCCCGTCTCCTTGTCGCAGGAGCGCGAGGTAGAGCCCACGGGGTAGCAGTCGCAAGGCAGGCAGGTGTCACTGCCTTTGGGGCGGTAGTGGAAGTCCTGGGGAAAGACGGGGAGAGCCATCAGACAGCCCATCGGGACAGCAGCCGAGGCCGGTGCCTGGGGAACCACTGGAGCCAGGGCAGAGAAGGGTCAGGCTCTCCTGATTTGCAAGCATCCCCACTGCCCCCATCATCACCATGCTGGGGCAGGAGGGCCGCACAAGAGCTGAGCAGGGATCCGGCCCAGAAGCGGGCACGCAAAGCAGGGCCTGGGCAGCTGCCCGGCCTTTGGAGTGGACAAGGAGCAGCATCAAGGACGAGCAGGGCTCCAGGCAGGCCGTGGGCCACACCCCCATGAGCACAGCTGCCCCTCACCTTGCAGTGGCACTGCCCGTTGGTTTTATTGCAGTCAGGGTCAAAGCCTTTGTTCACATCGCAGTTACAGGGCCCGCAGGTGGGGTTCCCCCACCAGCCCTTCGGACACTGCTGATCCATCCTAGGGAGAGAAATACCTCCACTGTTACAACAACCAAATCCCCTGGGCCTTCTCCCACCAGCCCAGCCGCTCAGCAGCTCCAAGGAGCCGGGTGGCACTGAGAGGTCCCTGGTCATGTAGCCGGGAGAAGAGGGCAGCATAGAGCCAGGCACGGATACTATGTCCCTGTCCTGTGCTCCACATCTCACCTATGCTCACAGTACTGCCCAAAAAAGTTCCCTCCACACTCGCACACGTAGCCCAGGGGAGAGCCTGGCTTGCGGCGACACACCGACTTGTTCTTGCAGGGGTTGAGGTGACACACATCCACGCAGTCCCCTCCATAGTACCCTGAGGTATGGACAGAGAGCACTGTGTAAAGCAAGCACCTTCCCCCCAAGAGGTACCAGAGCACCAAGGAGCGGATCCACAGGGGTCAGGAGAGATTTTGCCCTCCAGAAAAATAAATGCGGGTCTGACAGGGATGCGACTTGCCCAAGGGATGGACAGGAGAGCAGTCACAGGCCAGGAGGAAGCCACAGGGGGAGAGGAGAAGACAGACAGGTGTGGAGAGCAAAGGGGTGGCAGAGCTCTGCAGGCCCTACCTGGCTGGCAGACGCAGGAGTAGCTC